AATGCAATGGAATACTACTGTTGCTGTTAAGAAATGACGATTATGATGAATACAGAAAAGCTGGGAAGCTTGAATTGATTGCAAAGTGAACTAAGCAGAACCGGGGAAAACATATACACAAAGTATACAGCAATGTGAACAGGTAGAACAATGCCAATAAAAACAATAGAAACAAAATTGAAATTATGAGGACAAAGCTTGTCCCCCAAGACAAGCACCATATTAGAAAACACCTCACTCCCATCTTTGAAGAGATGGAGGATTGTGGAATTTTATGAAATCTCAGACTCTGTTGGTGGGGTAGTTAGCTTTGCTGAATGGTTTTTCTCCCTCTTTTTGCCATTTCCTTCTCCAGCTCATTTTACTGATGAGAAAGTGAGACTAATAGGATAAAACGACTTGCCCAGGGTCACACAACTAGTAAGTGTCTAAGGTCAGATTTGAACTCAGGAAGAGTCTCCTGGCCTGACATTCTATTCACTGTGCCACCTTGCTGCCCCTTTCCACCTCTTTTAAAAAATTCTTCACATGGCAATGCTTTTTTTCTTTTCTTATTTTCTATTTAAGTTTTAGTATTTAAGTTTAAAATAAATTAATAAATTAAAAAAATAAAAATTCTTTGTTATAAAAGATGGTTCTAGGTAAGGGAAGGAAGGAGAGAATTTGAAACCCCAAATTTTTTTAAAACGAATGTAAAATTTGTCTTTACATGTTATTGGAAAAAATAAAGTGCTATTAAAAAATTTAAAAAGTTAAATTTTAATTTTAAAAAAGATGGTTCTCTGGGGGAAGTAGGAAGGAAAAAATATGGAAAAATATAAGTGATGTTAAAAAAACAAAAGATAGCAATAATTGCTTAAAGCCTCTCAGCATATTTTTACAGACATCTTTCCCATCTCTCTCTTTTAGTCTCTCTACAACCAACTTTTCCCTCATGGATGATGTTTCCATCTCTTGACATTGTACCTTTGCCCACGATTTACAAACTAATCTTTCCGCCTCACCCCTGCCTCTCAAAACCCCTACCTTCATTTAAGAGTCGGCTTAAGTATTGCCTCCTGCAAGGCTTTTTCTAATCTCTCCTAACCGATAGTTGTTCCCCAGAGCTTGTAAATGTATACTGCCCCTGGTTGGTTGGTTTCTGTTCTTGGTTCTTGAAGAGGCCTGAAACAACATCGCTATGTCAGGGTCAAGGTAGAGTGTCTGACCGTGGCTCATCAGACCGATGCAAGCTGGCAAGGGTCTACCCTAGGTCGGGCACAAATAGTCTGTGTGAACATTTGGAGTGGAGATGTCTCTAAATCTGCTCATCTCACATTTCTTTTGAAACCTATAACCTCCAAATATATATGTCTTCCCCTCCCTCCAAGCCCCTGAGGACAGGAACTGTTTCTCTTTTTTCCTTTGTATTTTTAGTGCCTAGCACAGTGCCTGGTACATAATAGTTTTCCACTGAATTTATGTAACACTTCGAAGTTTGCATTATCTCACTTGAGCTTCATTACAAACTTGTTAGAAATTATTATTCCCTTTTTACAGATGGGGAAAGGAAGCTGAGGTTCAGAGAAATTAAATGATTTGTCCAGGGTCACACAGCTAGTAAGCATTAGAGGCAGGATTCAGACTCAGGTCTCTGTGACTCCCAGTCCAGCATTCTATCTCTTTTTAACCCGAGTTAGAAGCCAGGACTGGGCCACAACTGGGGAGTAAATCTGAGGTACTGAAGTCCCTGCTCACGAGCAGCGTTAAGCCAACGGGTCACTGAGGGGAAGGGACTCTTCTCTTTGAGGCTAGGCCAAGGCCTTGTTTGTTCACAGATGGATTTTCCATTGTTCTGCTGACAGAGTTAGGCAAACAGGAACCGAAAGGAACCAGGGGGTGGAGAGAAGTACTCGCTGTAAAGTACGCCAGAGCATTAATTAGTCTTTTGAGAACTTTGTTAAAAATAATATGAGAGTATGTGTGTTTATGTGGGCGTATAGCAGGGGAGACCTCATATGTTTTATGTCGGGTGTGTTGGGTCATGTGCTACATGTTAGGAAGGAGGAGGAGGAAGAGGAGGAGGGCAAGGATGTTTGTGTATGTGTGATACATACTGTTTGTTTATATCTCTATGTGTCAATATATATATATGTATGTACACCTGTCTGTGTGTGTGTGTACCTATGTAGGAATTGGGAATGTTTAGCCTGGAGAAGAAAAGCTCATGATTATTACTGTTTGTGGTTCAATCATGTCCAAATCTTCCTAACCCCCTGGACCATACAAGTCTATGGGGTTTTCTCGACAAAGATACTGGAGTGGTTTGCCATCTCCTTCTCTAGTGGATTAAGGTAAACAAAGGTTAAGTGACTTGCCCAGGATCACACAGCAAGTAAGTGTCTGAGGCCAGGTATGAACTCGGGTCTTTCTGACTCCAGGCTCAACCTCTAACTGAGCCCTGCAGCTGCCTCTGAGTTCATCAGAGGTGCCTTCAAATATTTGAAGTGTTGTGATATAGACACCAGACCTGTTTGGCTCCAGAGAATAGAGCCAGTAGCAATGAGTGAAAATTGCAAAGAAACAAATTTGTAAGGGAATGCTTTCTAAAAATCAGAGTCATCCCAAAATGGGCTGAGCCACCACGAGTTGTATTGTGCTCTCCCTCATGGGAGGCCTTCAGAAGGAGGCTCAATACCCAATTGTCAGGTTGTCACGAGGACTCATTTGCTGTATGACTTGGACTAAAGGGCTGCTAAGATGCCTTCCAACTCTAAAATTCTTGTGCTGCATACTTACAAGAGTGTGCGTCTCTCTTTGTTTGAGTGTGTGCGTTCATGCACACACAGGTGTGGCCCAGAAGTGCCACCCACAGAGCTGTTGTTTCATGTGGTGAAGTAGGCAAGACTGGAGGGGAATTTCCACCTAACCAGAAACGAGAAAGCTCTAAATTAACTTTTGCTCTAATTTGCCAAGTTGGGGGAAGCCATACAGTATAAATATCCCCAGTTTCTTTTCTTGTCTGTTTCCCTGTTGGGCTTATATTCCTAGCAGACCCCATTTGGGAAGAGCTGGCTTCTACTTACCCAAAACAGGTTTTCTAGGTGTTGAACCCAGGCCTAATGGGAGAAGCCATTCTAAAATCATAGAATCTCAGAGTTGAAAGGGACTTCAGAGGTCATCACATCTGACCCCTGCCTGAGAAGTTCAACTGTCTCCCTACCCTGGGGTATCTGATGGGAGCCATGGGCAGAAGAAGATAAAAAATGAAACCAGAGCTGGAGGCAAAGCAAAGAAGTATGGTAGAAAGAGTGTAGGACTTGGAGAGCCAGGAACTGAGTTTGGATCCTGATTCTGCTACTTACTCTACCTTTGTGACCTTGGGCAAGTCACTTGACTTTTCTGGGCCTCAGTTTCCTCATCTGTAAAAAGAAGGGGCTGGACTAAATGACTTCTGAGATCCTTCCTAGCTCAATTTATGATCCTATAAGAGCCGAGCAAGGCAGAATTCTGAAAGTAAAGCCTTTCTTTCTTAGCTGAAAGGTCCTTGTTGCACTTTATCAGACTTTGCTCTCTGGAAAGATTCTTGACCCCAACCACTGACTATTTACTCAGTGTGATTATAAGTCATAAGGCTCCCTCTTTCAGAGAAAACTAACTTTCTCTCTCACTAAGGAATGAAAATCTCTGTTTCATATTAAAATTAAGGCCAGAATTGAATTTCTTTTGGCCAAAGGCCATTTGCAAGGCTTGTGAGAGCCAAGACGAAAGAAAGTTCGAGAGTGGATTTCTGAGCATTGACGCTGGTCCCAGCCATGTGCAAGAGTAATAGCTAGCATTCTATACCACTTTAGGGTTTGCAAAGCAAATGGTGTCAAAAAATGGCAGAGGAACCAGCAGTGGTGACAGCAGCATGGGCAGAGATATAAGCAACAGTTTAGTTTGGGCAGTTCAGCCAAGGTTGGCCCAGATGCTCCTGAGTCTGGGGGCAGAACCTAATCTTTGAGTCTGCCTCTCTCTGAAATGTAACTCCCATCTTCCACCACATCCCAAAGCCTAAGCCTAGCGCATAGGTGCTAGTTGGTAGCAGGGACAGCTGGGTGATAGAGCGCTGGGCTTGGAATCAGAAAGACTTATCTTCTTGAGTTCAAATCTGGCCTCAGGCACTAGCTGTGTGGGCTGACTGGGCAAGTCACTTAACCCAGTTTGCCTCAGTTTCCTCATCTGTAAAATGAGCTGGAGAAGGAAATGGCAAACCATTCCAGTATCTTTTTCAAGAAAAGTCCAAATGGGGTCACAAAGAGTGAGACATGACTGAAATGACTGAACAACAGTTCTTAGTACCTGTCTTACCAACAGCACTCCAAAAAATGAAACATTTATTAAGTGCTTACTACCTGCAAAGCACTGTGTTTAGCACCAAGAATACAAATAGAAAAGTTATAGTCCCTGCTCTCAAGAAGCTGAAATTCTATCAGGGAAGACATATACGTCCCTCCAGTTTGAGGCCTGGAGAATATTTCAAATCCCTGATACTTACTTCTCAGGAGACTTTGGGCAAATCACTTTGCTTCCCTGGGCCTCAGTTTCCTCATCTGTAAAATGAAGGGATTGGACTAGATGACCTCTAAGGTCTCCCCTGATATTACACCCTGGTCCAGTGGTAGCTCCTTTCTCCAGTCAGAGTTACAGATTCACAGAATTTCAGAAGTGAAAAGAACCTCAGGTACCCTCCTGTTCAATCCTTTCATGTTATAGATGAAGCCACAGAGACCCAGGGAGGGGAAGTGACTTTACTGAAGGTCTCATGGCCAGTTAGCAATACCAGAATCCATGCATCCCAACTAGATTCAGGGCTCCTTCTACTGCACTGTATGGCAATGTTCAAAAGTCCAAATGTCCCCAAGCCCTCAAAGTCTCAATTCTGTCTTGGCAGGTCTAACCTAGTTCCTAAGCATCTCCCATCTGGGGATCCAAGAACTCCTAAGCCACCCCCATCACAGTCCCAAGTGCCACCTTACCTTCAGTGTGTCACCTTTGTTAAAGGCCAGCTCATCGTTTTCAGTGGCCTGGAAACTGTACAAGGCCACAGACTCCATCCCAGGCAGCCAGGTGGATTTACCACCTTACTTGTTCACTCAAATCTGTAATAGGGTGAGGAAGTAAATACTGCTCTTAGGTCCTCTCCACAGCCCTTCTGGCTCAAACCAGCAGAAATATCCAAGGGAACTTCCAGGATCTGGGTCCCTTCAACATCTCCACTTTGTGGGCCCTTTGTGCCTTTCTCTCTTCAGTCCTAAAGGTTCAGTCCAAAGTGACAACAACACTGGTTTCCTGCTTCCTCCCGTAGAGGAGTTTCAGGGGTGTGTGTGTGTGTGTGTGTGTGTTCTTTTGAAGAGGAGATGGAAACTGCCTCTCATAGGGAGAGAAACAGGAAGCCACTGTTGTGTCACTATGTGGGGGAAAAGAAGATGTCACCTGGCTGTGAAGCACCCATGCCTGCTAAAAACTACGGTCTCAGAGCCCTCTGAATAGAAATAATAGTAGTAGAAGTAGTAATAATAATAATAACAATTCCTTTCAGATATATAACAGCTTATTTTTTTATCTCATTTAGTCCTCACAATAACCCTATGAGATAAAGAGGCTATGTGTTCCTATTTTACAGATGGGGAAACTGAAGCCCAGAGAGGCTAAATGACTAGCCCAAAGTCATACAGCTAGCTAAGTAGTTGGGCCAACATTGGAATTTGTCTTCTGAATCCCAGTTCAGTGTTCATTCCATCATACCACACTGCCTCTGAGATGAGAAGAGACTGACCTCCAATATAAGAGGTGATTTTCCCAGGGAGTTATATTTTTGAGTTTCTGCGATCACAAGGAAAAACTGATCCAGGAAGGTCGTGTGTGTGTGTGTGTGTGTGTGTGTGTGTGTGTGTGTGTATGTGTGTGTATGTGTATGTGTTTGTATATATACATATACACATATATGGAAATTTTCCCTCTGTCTTTGACCTCTTGGTCATATATGTCTACTTGTGATATTATTGGGTCAAAGAATATATACGATTTAGTGATTATTTTTAGTCTAATTCCAAATTGTTGTTAGGAATAGTGCACTAATTCACAGCTCTACCAATAGCTCATAAGGTTGCTTCCCGTTTCCCCTCCACAATTTAATTATTTTTGTCTTTTGCTCTCTTTGCTATTTTAATGGTCATGAAGTAAAGCCTCAGTGTTGTTTTCATTTACGTGATTTGAAACAATTCTTTCATATGCTTGTCAATAGCTCACATTTCGAAAACTACCTATTCATATCCTTTAACCATTTATCTAATGAAGAATGATTCTTGTCCTTATATAGTTTGTCAATTTACTCTTTATTGTATATAAGATCCTTACCCTAAATATTTGCTGTAAAGATTTTTTTTGCCAATTAACTACTTTTCTTCTAACTTTAACTGCATTGATTTTGTGCAAAAGCTTTGGCCATAAGAGCTCTGAGCAATCCAATGACTACCATGATTCCAGAGGATGGATGCTGAAACATGCTACCTACCTCTTGACAGAGAGATAATGGACTGAGAGTGTAGAATTTACATATATATATATATATATATGTGTGTGTGTGTGTGTGTGTGTGTATATGTGTGTGTGCGTGTATATGTGTATATGTATATACATACCTATATGTGTATATATACACAAATATACATGTATGTGTATACATGTGTTTGTAGATATATCTGTATTAAAATATATGTATATGTTTTATATGTGTATATGTATATATATATATATATGGAATAGGAGAAATCATTGGAAAGTGAATAATGTAAAGTAAGAAAAGAACATTAGTAAACATACACACATTTGAATACCTCCAATGAGGTCATTTGTTTTACGTGACCACGAATATTTGTTATAAGAGTTTTTTCTCTTTTTTCAATGGTGGAGGAATGAGGAGAAAAAAATCAATTTTTATTAACTAAAAAAAATTAAAAACCACAAGCTTTTCACTTTTATGTAATCAAAACTGTCTATATTATCTTTTAAAATGATCTCCCTCCCTTGTTTAGTTAAGAATTCTCCCACTAGTCATAGCTGTGCAAAGTACCTCCTTTTTTTTTTTTTAAATGTGGGCTTTTATATTTGTCATATGTGAGATGACTATGGAAAGAAGACCAATACTGGAGGAAATTAAGATGATATAAAAATAGACATCAATAAAAACTTATTTAAAATGTCTAAATTTTATATCTATTTGAAGTTTATTTGGGTAATATCATTTGTTATTATTAGAAGGAATTAAGTCATAGCACATGTGTTGAATTAGAGCTGGAAGGTTCATCAGTGGTCATCATGTCTAATCCCCTTACTTTACAAATAAAGAAACTAAGGCCCAGAAGCTAAGTGGTCTGCTCAAGGTCACAAATGCCAGTATTTGCCAGAGTTAGAATTCACACACAGTTCTTCTGGTGCCAAATCCTGCTTTCTTTCCATTTACCCATACTGACTGTGAATATGGTGACATTATTTGCTCTTCTTGGCAAATGCTTTATTTGAAATTTAACACTGAACATCAATACAAGTAAATTTGCTTAGTAACTATTTACATTTAAATTAATTAATCTGCATATTAAGTATCATAACTCTGATTTAGTTACTCCTGCTAAGTCACCAACAGGATTCTTTGGGACCATAGTTTTTAAACCTAAAATTGAAACATTTGGCCTGACAGAAGAATTTCTCACAGTCACCATCACAGTATCACAGATAATCACCTTTGATATTGGAATTTTCCCAGAAAATCCAGGATGGATGGTTGAATAATTATATGAGACTGATTTTCTTGAGTGGCTCATACCTGCTAGGAAAACAGTTCCCAAAAAGGAATTCTGAGCTTTCTGGGAACAATGGCTGCAACATTGGAAAGACTGAGTGTCTTCCCCAGGGAACTGCTTGGAAAGGCAGCACTCATGTTTGTTTGTGGTGAAAACAAACAAACCAGTCACTTGATTGAGCTGACAGGGCCCTTGGGATCTTCCTGCATTCCTGAGAACTCTGCTGGTCAGCCTACCCCAGCCTGCCTATGTCAGTTACTAAGAACACTCCAATTTAAAAACCTTATTCCTCCCCTTCTGCACCATGCAGTGTCCTTGGCCTGAGGGGTCCCAGTGACTGAGAGAGAAGAGACACTGAAAGCTGCTGAAGTCAGTGAAGGGATTGGTTTGGTTGTTTTGTTTGTTTTGACTAATATCCTCAAAGGGCCTTAAAGACTCCTCAGGGACAGACAATTTGACCATGAAAAAAAAAAAGGTAGCACCACCACAGTGCTTCCAACCCTTCCAGGAGCCAATGAGGGTAGGGGATCTGACAGCTAAACAGACTGTGGGGGCTTTTGTCTACAGTATCTTCCAGTTTTCACAGGTTGGAGAAAGCAAGGGAGATCCCCAGGAAAAAAGAATTGAAACTTTGAAGACAATAGAGAATGGTAGTGATTAGGAAACCTGGGAGCCAAGAGAAAACCTTAATAGGCTGAATTTTTCCATGAGGGTTGATCATGAGCTGCAGCTCATCCCTGATTGGGATGAGAAGAGCCCTAAATGCTGGAAGACATTGAAATGCAGGAAATTGACAATGCAGAGTCTTCCAGGGCCTATCAGATGTGAAACAACAGGGCTCTTCTGGTGAAGACCTGGCATTACTATTTGGTAGAGTAGAGACCCACTCTCCCTTATTTGCTTCAATCTATTTCATGCTTTTATTTGTCCCACCAGAAAATATGGGATAGTAGGAAAGTTTGGGGGGAGAGAGGACGATGCAAAGGAGAAAGTTACAAACTGGGCAACCAGCATTTAGAAAGGTCATTTTTAAGTAGTATTTTTTGGGTTCCTTGTTAGCCTTTCTAGCCTTGAGGTACTGTTCAGCTGGGCCACTCTCACCCTTCTCTGTCCTCTATCTAGTCACTGGGGTTTGTAAACTGAGTTCAGAGCTTGAGAAGCCTGACCTATAATTAGGGAGATTAGGCTCCCCATTATAAAACTTATTGGCTCATTAACATACCTCTACTGCCTTCCACAGATGATGCCAATTATAATAAAACCTCTGTCTCAAATTTAGGGCTCCTCAAAAGGGAGGGAAATAACAAAGATCCTTGTTGTATGATATGAATTAGATATAAAACAGATAAAAATAATAGCCAATAGCTAGATTCCATGTAGCGCTTAAAGGTTTGCATGGCACTTTACATGTAATTTATTCCTACTCACAAAAAAGGGATGATAAAAATAAAAGAATCAGAACATTAATAGAATCATTAGAAGACAATTTTGTGACAATTTATAACTATGGTTATAATCAGTTGGGAGGCTAATATTTAAGCCTCATAAGAACATAAAGCAGTTTTTTAAGACTACTAATTAGTTTTTTTTATATTTCAGATCTACAGAGAAGGGAAGAATGTATAACCAAACAAGAGATAGAGACCATTACTAGATGTAAAATGGATAGTTTTGATTATATTAAATTTTAAAAGGTTTGCACAAACAAAACCAATGCAACTAAGATTATAAGGAAAGCAGAAAGCTGGGAAACAATTTTTACAACAAATATCTCTGATAAAGGCCTCATTTCTCAAATATATAGAGAATTGAGTCAAATTTTTAAGTCATTTATAAGTCAAATTTATGTCATTCCCCAATTGATAAATGGTCAAAGGATATGCATAGGCAGCTATCTAGAGTCATATGAAAAATGTTCTAAATCACTACTGAATGGAGAAATGCAAACTAAAACAACTCTGAAGTACCACCTCACGCCTGTCAGATTGACTGATATGACAGAAAAGGAAAATGATAAATGTCGGAGATGTGGGAAAATTGGGACACTAATGGATTGTTGGTGGAGTTATGAACTGATCCAATCATTGTGGAGAGTAATTTGGAACTATGCCCAAGACTATGCATACCTTTTGACTAAGCAATGCCACTTCTAGGTCTGTATCCCAAAGAGATCATAAAAATGGAAAAAGGACCTACATGTACAAAAATATTTATAGCAGTTCTTTTTGTGGTGGTCAAGAATTGGAAATTGAATCTAAGACGTCTCCAAAGGCCTCATGATGGAAAATGATATCCACATCCAAAGAAAGAATCATGGAATTTGAATGCAAATCAAAGCATATTATTTGCTACTTTTTTTCTTCTGTTGTGTTTTGTTTCCTCTTTCTGGTGGTTCCTCCTATTGGTTCTAATTCTTACTTACAACATCACTAATGTGAAAATATGTTTAATAGGAATGTATATGTGTAGCCTATATCAAATTGCACACTGTCTTGGGGAGGGAGGTGAAGAGGGAGGGGGAGAAAAATTTAAAACTCAAAAGCTTATGGAAGTGA